GACTGTGATTTAACTTGAACCAGGACGGGGTCTGGGACAGATGTTCCATAAATCAATTTGACCTCAGTCAGTTAAGTGTGATACCTGATTCAACCAGGTTTACTTAAACCAGTTTTGGCCATTTTGAAACTGGTTTATGAGCACTGAACTTTTGTTCTGTTACAGGTTTTAACCAGTTTCTGATCTCCTAAACCGTTTATGTGTAACTTCTGTCCCTAGCCTCTGAGACCAAATCCAGCATTCTGCCCAGTCAGTGGTTGTCAAACACTGACAGATTGCAAACCACCAATTTAAAATGATACAACCTTAAGTACCTCCAGCAAATTTTTGTCATATAAAGTAATTACAATAAATCTGTTAATGTGTACCACTGACAGGTTGTCTGCATGCCACTGGTGGTACCCGTACCACAGATTAGGAACCACTTCTAGAATACACTGCTTTCTGACTCCTTCAGTAGTGTTCAGTGGGCACAAGATCAAAACCTGGCAGTTGATTTTCCCATTCATTCAAATAGCCAGCCTTCCACCAATTTAAACGGGCACGGTGTAGGTACTTAGAGCACCCGTGCATTCTTATTTGGTTGTGCACCTATGTATGTGGATACACACCCACGCACACATGATCAGACAGTGCACACACAGTAATAGTTTTTCACAATGGATTTTTTCCTAATTATGTATGGAATCACGAATTAAGGAATTGTCACTTTGAAAATGACACTTTTGTCATCTCTTGTAGTGCTGATTACATCTATTAGACTTCAGTGGAATTGAAAGAAGTTAGTGAAACGTTTATTTTTTCTTTTTTTAACTTTTTTTTGTTTTGCTTTGCATTTTACAGCAGTCTATCTAGTCTTCTACACAGTTTACCATTTGTAATTAACACACCTGCAAAGGTGCGTCTGTCTGTCAGGATCTGATGAAGTTAGCTGCTGCTTATGACAGGTTATGCATCTTTAATGTGGTTAGTTTATAAGGTGCAAATGCACTCTACCTTATGTCTTTTTTTAACCGTACAAGAATAATACATTCTCTTTTCAGCCTCCGGGTCTTGCACCTAAACTGTGCTCATTAACTACACATGCAGCTTGGGCTAAGCTTTTAGCTCATCATTAAGAGTGGCTACTTTGGTTATCAGTGCCTTACCCTTCTGATTGCAGCCTTGAGAATGATCTCCGCTAGACTCAGCCTTGAAGTTGACAACTCCTAGTCAAGTTCACCAGTCATGTTACAAAATAGACAAGGGACCAAAGAATTCTTATGCACTTAAAATATTTCTGTGCTTAAACAATATGCAGCTACCTTACCTTGAATTTTGTTACAATTTAAGCAGTGGGCAAAACATTGGGACTATGGTGGTTTTAGACCATTAAGCAGATTTTGTCTTTACCTGATATGCATCTGTATGGAGTAGACTGGATCTGTAGTTATGTCAATAGGACTATTTTGGTGGGTGAAATTATGCATATGTTTCTGTTTTTTGTAGAGCTGGGATCTTAGTTAAGCCCAATGACACTTCTTATAAAGATACCAGTGGGGGAAAAAAGTGGCTGACTGTCCCTTTAAGAGTAGGCTGGCTTGTATAATTATGCCCCACCCTCTTTGCTAAAAGGGGAGAGCACAATGTACAACCCCATGCACTACTGAGGGTGCATTGAGCCTTCTGCTTGCATTGTAAGCGTTTTAGCTTTTCCCTTTCAGTGTAGACCTGTCCTTGGTAGCTATAATACTGTATCTGATATGTCATATATACATTGCTTCTTGGCTTCTTGTGGGTTAAGATCAAGTATAGGAGTATTTGAAGTCTAGGCCAGGATGCTTGCCTGCAGTATCTGGGGACATCTGAACCCCAAGGCCTCTGGGCTTGGGCCTGCTAGTAGGAAGCTTGCCAATGGATCTGGGAACATCTGAAATCCCAGAGCAATAGGGCTGGGATGGAGGACGCTTGCCAGTTGTAGCACCATACATTGTGTTTGGAACGATTGAGTTCTGCCTACTTAATCAATAATTGTTTTTGGAATGACTGAGTTCTGCTCAATCAATATGATTTCAAACTGATTTGGCTAATTTGACCCGGAATGCCAAATATATATTTTAAAAAATGTAAGCAAAAATCACTGCATTGATTCTGGGAGGGAGTGTCAGATTTTTGGGATGTCAGGAATCACTAGGAAGGACGGATTAAAAATGAATATAGGAAGATGTTATAGTGGCAAAGAAGGAGTTCTCGGAGGAGGGGACCAAAGGCTTCTCTAGATGTTGTTTTTATAGCCCTTTTTCTTTCAGCAGTGTGGGTTTTTTCTCATTTATTTCCTTTTCTTCCATTTAAGATATGAATTAAAAATGTAATCAGAAGAATTCAGCATGGTGATAACAACTTGAGGGTGTTTGCTGTTATTTCTGCATTAACCGTATGCTGGGATAATAAACTCCAAAGCACAAGGCTTCAGGTGTATTTTCAGTAAATAAGTTGGCCTCTGACCTTAGAATGTATTCAGAATGGGATAAGGTTATTACCCTTTAACCAGGAATCCACTCAAGTTGACAAAATACTCAACATACTTGCTTTGCTTTCTGAAGATGAAGCATTGACAGGTGTAATAAGAAGCAAAGGTCAGAACTGAACAAGACAGTAGGAGGACTAAATACATCTTAAAATATATATCAAACAAGCCAAAAAAAAAGAGAGAAATGAGTAAAATTAAAAACATTGCTGGCTTTTTCAAGTTCCCCATCTCCATCATTGTGTGACTGAGAAGGTAAATCTAGTCATTAATCTAGCTGCAAACTAGGCTTAGGTATTTGATTAGTCCAATACAGTTTGGTCAATCAACCAGTCAATTGGGCAATAATTGCCAAATATGGCCAGGAAGGTGCTTCCCTGTGCTGCAGTGCCCTGTCACCAAGCTCCTGGCTGCAGGCTGCCTGGGACTGCTTGGCTGAGAGATGCCAGGTGCTGGGCACCAGCTGTCAGTTCCACCAGTGCAGGGAGATGCCTCACAACAGGGAGGCATCCTCAGCATACCCTCCACCCAGACACCAGGCTTCCATAGTAGGTATGTGTTATCGGTTAAATAGTGAACCAGTATAGTTAGAAGACTTTAAATGGCTAATTTTTAAAACAATATTTACATCCCTAGTTGCTATAATCACAGAAAGCCTTCTTATGATACTTGACCAATCGTTGACCAGTCAAAAATATGCAGTCAATTGACTGGTCAATTAGCAATATTTGTGACAATTTGTAGTAATAGTTTGTGCTGCCCGTTTTTGGCAGACATCTGTTTGCTTATAGTGTGAGACCATGGGCAGCTGGGGGCTGCCAGCCACCCTGGACAGATGCTCCTGGATTTTCAGGGGCCTGATGCTTCAGGGGTGTTCCTGAGATGCATATCTGCAAGCGTTCCCCCACTTGTAGACAAGGTGTACAGCAGCATGAATCATGCACCAGGAATGCCCTTCAGGGTGATTCCTAGGGTGTGCGTTTCATGCTGCCACGCTCTGAGTCAGGGCACACACTCTAGATCAGGGCATAGTCTACAAGCACAGGGGGGAAAACCTCCATGGGAACCTGGCACTTCTGTTCTTATATGCAGCAAATTAGAGACTGACTTGTCCTCCAAGTAATTTATTTACTGTATTTACCTGAATCCAAGATGACATCATTTTAAATAACCCTCCCCCATACTAACATACTAATTAGTGTATAGGGGAAATGAGAGTCCCCTGTCGTTCAGTGGTAGAATCCTTGTCTACTACACAGGAGACCTGGGTTCAATTCCCAGGCACTTATACAGCTACAGCCATGGAGGTACTAAATATCTGGGCTCAGTTGGTTTTTTGAATTCTGTCTCAGTGGCCTAAGGGGAGGATGGAAGGTCTGGGCAGCCTCCATTCCTCCAAAAATTCCTGCCCATATGCACTGAAAGTCTGGGTGGCCCTCATACATACATTGTGATCCAGGGGGATCGACAGTTGCCACATATAGAAAATGATAAATTTATTATATTTGTGCCTGTACCCTCTCCCACATCCTGTCTGTCCCCTGCCACTTGCCTCGACCCCGGTTCCTGTCCCCCCACAATTGTGCTTGCCCTTCCCCACTTCCTGCTCCCCCTTGCTGCTTGTCCTGCCATGCCTGTGCCTTACCCCTGCCACCTGTTCTTGCCTCCTGCCTGCCCTTCCTCCCCTCCTCCCCGCATCCTGCATCACTCATCTTCTGCCACTCTGCTCCAGCACCTAGCCTTGGATTTGAGTAAATGTAGTAAAAATGTCTTTGACATAAGAAATATTGCTAGGCATTCCCATCAGTGGCTAGAAAATGGTTATATGTGGACTCCTGTGTAAGAAGCAAAGTGTAGTAGCATAGTCTCAGGAACACTCCAGGACTTATGGATCATCCTGTATTTTCATCCCATGCTTTGTTCTGGTGGACATAAACTGTTATTGGCTCATAATTGGCAGCAGATGACCCCCGCCCCCAGCCTGGTGCTCTGACTAGTCTGAGCCAGCATTCCACTTGTTCCCTATCTGTCTCCACCCAACCCCTAGTTAGCTGTATGAGGGGTAAACAAGGCTTCCTGTGCATTAATCAGCAGTGCTGGGAGGCTGGCCAGAGGGATAAGGAGGGTTTTATACCCCCACGCTTTGCTGTGTGGCTACATTGGATAGGTCACGCTTTACATTAAATACATCTGCTTTAGTTCTGTCACTTAACAAACCAATAATAAGCAACCAAGCAGAATGAACAGTGTAGCTTTTCTGCTTCTCATCTGTTCCCAAGCAGATGGTAGGATGCTGCCTTTTATATATTTGAACTTAATCTCTCCCCTGATTTCATAGGGCATTATATCAGGCCCAGAGGCTGGAACGCTCTGCCATTCTGAAGTTTTTACACTGCTGTTCCTCTAATGCTGTAGCTGTCTCGCATGAAGCTAAGATTTAGTGATTTAGTGTCTGTTTTCTTTTTTTGACATAATGTACTCTCTTTTTGCACAGTGGGAAGAAATTGGTGAGGTGGATGAAAATTATGCTCCAATACACACATACCAAGTGTGCAAAGTCATGGAACAGAACCAGAACAACTGGCTTCTGACTAGCTGGATCTCCAATGAAGGGGCTTCCCGGATTTTCATTGAGCTCAAGTTTACTCTGAGAGACTGTAACAGCCTTCCTGGAGGCCTTGGGACTTGCAAAGAGACTTTCAACATGTACTACTTTGAATCGGATGATGAAGATGGGAGGAACATCAAAGAAAATCAGTACATCAAGATCGATACCATTGCTGCTGATGAGAGCTTCACTGAGCTAGATCTCGGAGACCGAGTCATGAAGCTGAACACAGAAGTGAGAGATGTTGGTCCTCTTACCAAAAAGGGATTTTACCTGGCTTTCCAGGATGTAGGGGCCTGCATAGCCCTTGTCTCTGTGCGAGTGTACTACAAGAAATGCCCTTCAGTTATTCGCAACCTGGCCCTCTTTCCTGATACCATCACTGGAGCAGATTCCTCCCAGCTGCTGGAAGTGTCAGGCTCATGTGTAAACCACTCAGTGACTGATGAGCCTCCCAAGATGCACTGTAGTGCAGAGGGGGAATGGCTGGTGCCAATTGGAAAATGCATGTGCAAGGCAGGGTATGAAGAGAAGAACAATACGTGTCAAGGTAAGGCTTTGTGGCAGTGTACAACGTGTTCTGATACGCTTACTAACCTGGCAGACCTGCTCTCACAGATGTTGGTGGGTCCTATCCATACTAAGATTTCTCTGCACTAACCTAGTAGCTTGCTGGAGCTTTCAAGTGGGCACAGCTGTAAGTTATTCCTGCTCCTGATGCAGCAAAGATTTAGGGGGGGTGGCTCCATTTTGACTCTCCCTTTAAATTAGCACCTGTTGCCCCTCCCCAGATACACTACTGATAAGCTGTGAGATGGGTGAGAGCAATGAGAATATATGCAGGTGGTACTTCCTGCTATTAAGTGTGACTGTGGGGAGCAGAACCTGACAGCTTGCTGAGGTTTTATCAGAGATATTTATAATGATATATTACAATTATATTTTTAATATTTATATATGACACTGGGGGTTTTCTGACAATGATAGTTTTAAAGGCTTTCTTTCTCTCTGGTAGGCTATTGATTTGGAAATGTTAAAATTTGTTTTCAAGCTAATGATGTATTTTATATATGTACATTAATGCATATTTCTATCCAGTTTTCTGTGAAAAGCAAGAAGAAAGATTTCATGAGGGGAATTTTTCCCCCTTTCCTTGTAGTTATTTCACAGCCGTTGCTCAGCAATTTAAAGTTAAAACAAAATCTTCGGCTCCAGTCCTGCAACCACTCCCACAGGTGCTCAATTTTACTTATGTGAACAGTCCTTATTGAGATTTCTGTCTATAAATACCCATCTTGTCTAAGATGCTGATACTTCAGGGAATTTGTGCTCATCAGCGAAGTATCTTATAAGAGAGTATCTAAGTAAGCCCCATATAAAAACAATTTATACGCTGCAAGAACGCAGCCTACTGTATTACATGCTTGTTTACAAAAATTGCACTTTGACTTTTAAGTGAATTATAGGCAGTTTATAAGAAAATATTTGGACATGACATGGAAAAAGGGATATTTCCAAGCAATTTGCCTTTTGCTGGTGGATTTGGGCATTATTGTTATTGTTACTGTTATTGGCACATTGTAATTTGATTGTGCCCATGCCCTTGCAATTTGCAGAGAGTCTCAATCTGCACACAGGGGCATCTGGTTCTGTTTTCCCCTTGGTACCTGGCTAACGGCCTTTGTTGTCTTGAGACCAGGTTGCATTTACTCTGTACCTTCCTCAGATCAGAGGGAATTTGGCATAGGTACAGAGAGTGGAATCAGTGCCCAAGGTGGGTTCACTTTGGACATATGTTAGCCTGTAGACCTGATTTTTTCAGCCCTTGATGACTCCAAACTCCACTGAAGTCTTCAAGCAAACCTGATGTCCCTTCTGTGAGGTTCCAAGGATTATAGGGAGCAGATAAATTTATTTAGAGAAGATTTTTGCTACAAAGAAAACACAGAAAACATTTCTACTAGCATGTTTCTCTCTAAACAAAGCAGATACTACAAGCGCTCTTCTGTTTTTATTTCCTTTGCATTGATTTAAAAATCCTCCTACCCAATATGGGGGAAGATATGTCTGACTTAATATTTGGAACAAGGTAAGGGGAACAGAGTAGCACTAGCTGTAACAGAGGAACTCTTGATTGCTTCAGATGAAGAAATGTAGCCAGACACGCTGACAAAAATCTGCTTGGCTGCTGCTAAATATAAACAGCCCCAAAACAGCCAGCATTGGTTGGGTGCAGTGTCTAGTTTGTAACTCCTGTAAACTGTAAAAATACTCGGACCAAATGGGCACTTCCATTGGTTATCAAACTATCAAAGTCCCTCCCTTCCTTCAAATCTCCTTTGACTATTTGAGCTGTAACACTCTCTTGCTTCAGATCTTCCTAGGCTCCTGTTTGCAACAGCCATAAAGGTTATCTAGACTTAGAGTTACTGATTTTAAATGTCCCCAGCCTGGAAAAATTGCACAAGGCCACAAAAGTTACTGACCTGACAGCACTGAGACAAGAACTTGTGAGAGGAGGGGTGGGGAAGGGAAGGACTCCCATTCTGCCTTCACACTTCTGGTTTTTTTAGCGCCTAGGGTAGGTGCTCAAGCCCAGTATTCAAAAGTCACTTAGGCATTGGATTCTCTTTAGATAAATGTTTTGTACCATTTATAAATAGGTCTACTAGGTATGTGGTTTTCTTTTCACCAAATAGGTATGCTGATAAAAACCCCTTGAGTAGTTGCAGCTCCAGCCATAGAAACATACTTTAGGTTGATATAGCTTATTCCATTTCCTGTATATGACTAGCTGTACCTGTGTAAGACACTGTTTTACTACTATAACTTCCTCCATACTAGAGCAGTACTACTGCTTTAACTGTAGTGGAATGGCTAAACTAGTTCAACACGTGTGTAGACAAACCCTAAGTCCCAATGCCAGGCCAATGGGATTTAGGATCCTAAGTACCTAAACTGTAGGCCTGAATGTAGAAATAGCTGTATCCTACACCAGTAAAATGTCCCCTAAATGATTGGTGCTATGTAAGAAAAGTCTGCACTTTGTACCCATACAGTAAAATCAAGTAAAAATGGAACTTGGGCTCGTAAGTCACTTAGGCACTTTAGAAAACTGAACCCTTCAATGTCTGAGCTTAAGTGTAAGCATGAGCTTTGGATTCCATAATGCAGTTCCAATGCAGAAGAACCTGAACGTGTTTGTTAATTGTTCTCCTGTTAAGATAACATTCACTGAGCTGTAACATCTTGTCTGGACAATAGCAGGCTACACGCTTTTATTAGGGATGATGCAAATCTCACTTACACTCACAAACATATGGAAACAATTGAAATCCCTTCTGCCTAAAAATCATTAATTGGCAATGATGTCTACAATTCATCATCTTGTCATTGAGTGGCTCAATGAAGGAGGTACCGACAGCAACAGCTGAGTAATTTCTATCATTTGAGACAGTCAGGCGACAAATATGACATGGCCTAATCTCATTATATAATTCAGTTACTATTTCAAATAACATGGGCAGTCAAACTGTATTTATCTGACAAACAAAACTTCTTGTATCTTTCAGCAACCAAGCTAGTTTATCACCTACTGTTATTTGATAATCAGTGATGAATTGTGACTGCTTGGGAAAATTTTAGTGAAAAGCCCCCCTGTGCAAAGCTAATTTTTATGTGGATAAATAGTTCTGTATGCATTTAAAAAAAATTAAAACAACCACTCTCCATGTCCTTGCATTGGCTTCCAGAGTATAGATGCAGTACAATGTTCAACTGGTGGCTATTATTTTTGGCTGGCTTATGTTAGCGGTGTCTGAATGGGTTCTTTAAAGCATAACTGATAAATCTTCACTTATCTGCAACACTAAGTTTTGGGTTTAGTTGGTATAGGTCTCCTTGGGTACTGCTTTTTGACACAAGGGGCCAGTTCCTAAGCTGGTATAACCTGAAATCCTTGGTGCTACGCTGATTTATCTTAGCCTAGAATCTAGCTCTAGAGACTATTTTTTGTAATTTTATTTTTCCTTATCTGCTTCCTGTTTTCTGATCTCTTTTTCTTATCAGCTATCAGAATAGCTACATTTTACTGTAACTGCCGTTTTGGACTGAATACAAGTCACTGAATACATAAGGGCTCCCTCTTGGGGAAGTTATATTGGTAGCTGATATTCCTTGAAAAGTGCTTCAGCAAATCTGGTTCACCAGATCTGTTCTCCTTCACGCATTCAGCTTTATCTTCCCATTTTAGTGACAACAATAAGTTTGTATATTACTTCTTATTCCTTCTAAGCGCTATAGAACCAGCAAACATAAAGGGGATGAAGCTGGACTCCTTTGCTTCTTATGTGTCATCAACAAAATGAATTGTCTAGTAAGATCCAATTATGCAGCCAGTCAGTTACACCTGTTCAGCCCCTCTGGTAACAATGGGGATGCGCAGCTGTTATTGAGGCCTTAATCGGCCTGTAGAACCTTTATTCTGATACACAAGGCAAAAAAAAATAAATCCCAGTTTGACTTTCAAGTCCCAGGTTTCTTGCAAAGCATCTTTTTTTTCCTTGGAAACTGAGAAACCAGGATGGAAATTATTGAAATGCTATGAGCACGAATTCTGGAATGCCAAGCAGAATCATAAAAATAAAAAGAAGGAGGAAACAAAAGTTAAATGAATTAGAAAAAAATGGACAAGGCAGCTTATCAATTCAGAACACAATGGTCTTTTTTCTAGTTAGCAGGGTGTACTGTTCCTTTAAGAGGCATCAGGCAGTAGTAGAGTGGATTGTATAGTCAACTGAGACAGAAATGCACTATAATTACAGACAAATACAGGATATTGCAAAATAATGGGAGAAAATTTAAGCCAAATTTTACTTTAATGTTAGTCTTTACTAGGGAGGAAATTTGGAAGTTGGAGGCAGACAGAACATTTTGTGCTTTTAGAAAGGAATTGCTACCAGAATAAATATTTTGTTGAAGAATTTTTCTACAACTAGGAATTATAATATGTTTAAACAGCTTTATTTTCTTGAAATATGATCTGACCAGTTGTTGTTTCATTGTTTCCAAAGTCAACTTGCTGAAGCATTTTTTTTTGCTTGCTGTTTGTTCTTGCTTTGAAATTCACACTGGTATTTGCCAAGGAAGATCTACCTTTACTCAAAGAAACAAAGTTCAAAGCAAAACCGTGTTGACAAATTTCTCCTTTGGGCTTAATTGACAATAGTAACTGAATTTACACAGATCAAAAGTACCTGCTGTATCAACTCTCACATGATGCTGTTGCTAACTTACTCAGCCGCAAAGCAAAGTTACTAATCTTCATAAGACTATGGCACAATGGAACAGTTATTTGAAGTAGTTTTTTAGAATGGGAGTTACTTCTGTTTATGAAGCAGTATAAAGGGAATTAGTGAAATCGTGGCCTTTGTGGTTGAGTTTGGGGAGGGGGGCACAGAGACAGGCAGAATGCTTCCAGTGATGAAGTAGGACCATGCTGTTTGTAGCCTTGTGTGGAGAGGATGCAAACATAACATTTTGGGTGAAATC